TGAGCACAACCGGTGACCATAATGCGATTCAAACCCATGCTGGCCGGGTAAGGCTTTAGTACAGCCGACGGTCTAGACAACTGAGCTATCGAGGCTCCAACGCGAACCACGAGTTAAATGCTACTTGGGTCGATTGACTCGACATGCTTATTCAATATATTGATTCCAAAAATTCTGATACAGCATGCTGACTGACTTAACCGAAGTGCCGAAGCATATAATCCGGCATCCACTAAATGACTGCCTGGCACACTTAAGTATTAGGAGGGATTTGGCAGGTTTACATAACACATTTGACCCAAGTGTGATTAAACTTGCGGACTTCTGTTAGTCCTCGATAGCTCAGTCAGCTAGTTCGTTGGCTGTATTAAAGTCTTTTCTGACTGGTGTGGCTTCGAAGACCACCAAGGCCGCCGAGTTTTTGACAATTGGGTTTAGGTTTGATGCATTTTGAGGACTCGGGTTTTCACCATACACTCACGTTTCCTGACAGTGGAGTTGAACAGAAGTACGGTTTCTTTCGATAAATTCAAAGGAATGAGTTGGATTTCCACTTTAAGGCAGTCCAATCATCGGCTCCTATGTACTTCGCCGTAGGTTATTAAGTTTTTAAACCGTGTTACCCTATTTGTGATATAATGGTGTGTGTTCCGGGAGGCAAGGTAGCCAATTAACTGACAGTTTCGGGCATTCGATTATTGCACAGAAAAGAGAGGAGAGACTAAGGTCAACTTTAAGTCCACTTTTTTTCCAAGAAACTATCACCTTATATTATAAGCCTCGACTTGGAAGGCTGTCTACTGACAATTAAACTCGGATACGGCGCTCAGTCCATAGAGTGTGTATGTGGGATGGTCAACTGAGATTCAGACTGCAAGGAACCCCTCTTGATCTGCGCTCTGCAGATTTGTAAGTCAGTTGGCATTCGAGCCGTCGCGCCACTTTCCTTCTCGTTGTTGTATCATCTCCGTTTTCTTGATACTGACCGGGCGCAGTAGTGGCATGCTTAACTGCATGTTCGCGCTGCTTCCGAGAGGGTCTCTGTTCTTCTTCACTCTGTATCAGCACGGCGCTGTGTTATTTGAGGACTTGAAGAAATTTTATTAAATGGTGCGTA